AGTCGTCGACGATTTTAATAGTCGACGTAATCGTGGCAGCCCTAGTTTCAGTATTAATCAGTAACATCTAGCTTAGATTTATTGCTTTGTGACTGAAATCTAATGGATGAATTATAACGCACACTTATTTTACACGTGTCATTGTGTTGTCATTAGCTGTGTGCGCATAATCAAAGCAGCGTACAGATGTAAAAATGTCGTAAACCTGCAGTTTTTCTAGTCGTCAGTAAGGGAGCCACTCCTCTGACTACAGCAGGTTAGATCCCACAGGAGTCACAAAATGACCCTACTTCTCGTTTGAATGATATCAAACACTTTTCTGATAAGCACATTTACCATTTTAGCTCACACACCTCAGGTAGTTGTAACAAACACACCTGCCCTTCAGACAGCAATACACAGAGTAGAGGCACCTTAGATCAAATGCTGCTGGTCACATGATCACATTACATGCAAACCATATGCAGTCCAAGCCCATATAATGAGTAAAAATACTCATTCTAACTCATATCCTGGATTTCAAAATGTGATATGTATGCTTAAATGTCTGTGTGGGCTGGCATTAACATCGAGTGCTACCAGAAAGCATGATCAGGAAAGTTCAGCTGCTAATCACCAAGCGTATGAATCACACTGTGGCTTGCTTGAGCTATGCTGGCACTGAGCATGTACATCTCCCAAGAAGAGAACACTTTACTCTAACAATAAGAACTCTTTTGGATTTACACTTCGGCTCCTAAAGGTCTCAATCAATAAATTGATGTTATTTTAGTTGTTTTTATGATCCCTTCTGGCTGGTTCAGCTTCTGGCTGTCTGTATACAGCCTGTATTGGAGGTTCCTCACTTTCATTTTGTATTTCATTTTTCATTTATTTTTTAGTGCTTTTTCCCCTCCAAGTGTTACATTTTTCTTTTTTGGATGAATTTATTTATTTACTTATTCAGAGATTCAATAATATTTGAGACAGTTAACAGTGTGTAATGCACATGAGATGTTATTTGTCTAGCAACTATGTAATATATGGGCTCTGAATGGACATCTTCACGTGATGAGCTCACATGACCAACAACATTCATTATCTGATGAAGAGCAGTTGTGCTTGAAACAAAACAAACATGATGGTTGTTGAAATGAGGCAATGCAGAGTGAGAGCTGTTGTCTAATTTTTTGGCCCAGCAAATGTCCCACTTTTTGGTATATTTTATTCTATTTATTTATTTTTTAAAACGTATTTAATAGATTTTTGGACACTTTTATTTTTCCCCAAAATGAGTTTAACGTCACACGTAAAGAGCAGCCATCACTAAGGTTATGACCTGGGCACACAGTGCAGGCCGGTTGAGGATCGGGCTTATGTTAAGGGTGATGGCTCAGTAATGAAGTCCTCACCCAGCAGTGGAGGCAGCCAGTTCACATTGGCTTCACAGTGCGAGTCCAGGAAGGTGAGGACTTCTCCTTTAGCAGCAGCTGCTCCAAGCAGGCGAGTCCGGATCAGACCCTCCCTCTTCTTGGTCCTCAGGATGCGAACCTTTGGCAGCCGTACCATGTACTCCTCTAGCGCCACCTTAAGGTGTTCTGAAGAGACAACATGAGAGAGAGCATAATTTAAAGAGGGGGGAAAAAAAATGCCATAATGGTATAGAGAGGATCAATATCATACCTTGTTAATGCGTGCAGGTAAATATGGATCTACTGGCATGAACTGCTTCAGAAAACCGTCCACAAATAGGAAACCCTCACAACAAAAACGCTCTTCAAAAAACATGAAACAAAAACTAACCCATTAGCTGTCACCATCAAACACGACATCTGCTTCTGCCACATGCTCCACACCGAAATGTCCCCCTTAAGGCCTCTACATCATAACGTACTTTCACCCATACAGAGAAAAACTTTATATTACTTACTTTTCTACACTCACTGACTTTTTTTCCCCTTTTTTTATATCTGCAGTCATTAGACAGAATGTTACCCTCAAGAGGAAGAAACCAACTGCGAGGAAAGAAAAAGGAATTAAATAAGCCCCTCTAATGTGCGGTCATAAAGCCTTTTGGCAAGAAATTAAAAAAAACAAAAACAAAAAAAACAAAAGAAAAAAGAAAAACAGTGCTACTGCCAAAATTGTGATGATGTTCATTCTACCCAAAACTCATAATGTCCCATTATGCACCTTTTTCCC